AATGAAATATCATTAAACTAGATATTCATCAACAGTATGTATCCATACCAAGGGAATGACAACATTATAACAAGTCATTTCCATGCCAAATATAAACCAATCCAAAGTCCAATGTATACACATCCATGCCAATGCATACATATTCTATGATAATAAAGAATCCATAACCAATGTATACAATCCATACCAAATGCATACATATTCCACATCCAAACCAAAGTCACACCACTGTATAATCCCATGAAGTAGCCAACACATCCAAACCAAATGTTGACCTCAACACATCCAAACCAAGTGTTGAATTCGTGAACATGTCACCTGCCCATGTCACACACCTAACCTCTCATGGAAAATATATAGTTGGGTTACATCGTCACGTAATCCTAGTGATCGTGGCCACTTCATCCATCGGTATGACTCGGCTTTGCCCCCATACCGGTAGAAAATAGAATACTTAGAGGAGTACTTCAGAATCCAACTAACATCTGAAGTGGTTTATTATATAATCTTTGGAAAATTTCCACATTGGAATCCTCACCATGGGACTCCCAAATTCCATATTTTCCCAAAGATTATATCCTGATCTCACCAAGAGATCTCCCAATCCATACCATTACCTTATTCCTCTAAGTCCTATTAGCTTTCCAAACCAAACAAAAATAGCATATTCCATAATTACATAAAAAAATTTCCATAACCATGCCAAATTACTCAATATAACAACATAAATAATTAAACACCCAAAACAACTATCAACTTAACCAAATCACTCTTTGTGAAATGACAATCTTCAAATAAAACAACATATCAAGAGTTATACTACTCCTATCATGCTCATCTTTATCTCATATGAAATATAAGAAGCTTTCCTACAACTCTTATGAAGACATCAAGTCCTAATTACATCATCTACTTGTTAAAAATTCTAAAAACCGCAACAGCTATAACCAATGTTGGCAGCTTGACCCCTGTTCACTAAAATAGTAATATCTGGAGTTCTAGACCTCCTTTTTGGGTGATTCCAACGCCATTGGAAAGCTAACATTCAAGGCTACAACTTTAATGAAGACTTAAAGACCAACATACTCACGCCAGGCTCACTAATATCCCGCCCGGTGCAAAACTCAAACAGAGACCTACAGATTCATTGCGCCCGACGCAATATCAGTAACGAAAACACAAGGACCACGTCTGATAGTGCGCCCGACATGATTCTCCCCACGCTCGGCGTGATTCACCCAGGGATTCTCATTTTAAATTGCGCTCGGCGCGACTAACCTCGCGCCCGACATGATTTGGCAATGATAGTCTCTGATGAATTTATGCCCGACGCCAAGAACTGCACCCAGCGCATTTACAACCAGAAAACCCTCGAAAACCTTGAAAATTCCTTCCAATCATGAATCCAATCCAAATTACATGCGTTTGAACCATTATAAAGCATAAACAATATCCAAAAACAACATTTTAAGCAATAAAATCAAGTATTAACCATTAATCCATGGAAATCGTGAAGAAACCCCAACCAAAAGCCTTTCCCCTCAATCCATCCTTAATCAGGCATAAAGCATGGAATTAATATGATATTTCAAACCCATACATACTAGATTAAGTCTTATAAGTACTACCCTTACCTTAGAAACCTCATAAATGCACGATTTGGACAAAACCCTCAAATCCCAACTCAAACTTCAATCTCACTTTTCAAGCTTCTAGAGGCTAAATCTCTTAATACTCTAGTTGTGAAGATTGATCCTGACTTGATAAGCTTCCCAAATGTGTCCTCAGCTTTCCTCTGGACCGTAGCCCGTCTCTCTATTTACTCTTTCTAGAACTATCCCTGTCTGACAAATGAGACCCTCCGGTCCTAAGTCCCTATATATAGCCATTTTTCGAAATTTCCAAATTTCACTATTAGCTACTATTCACCTCAAATATTCTATTCCTTGAAGTATTTCAACTCCCTACGACGAGATCTGGTGGGATACGACATGGAAGTACCGCTGTAGAAGAGTGTCCTTTGCCTGGTACGTCCCACTGAGTTGCTCCACCATGAGCTTCGAGTCGCTGTTGCAACTCACTTTTCGAGCTCCGAGGTCGTGGGCTAGCCGCAGTCCTGCGAGGAGCGCCTCATACTCCGCTTGGTTGTTGGTCACCTTGAAGCTAAACTTGAGGGATTGCTCTACGGTGACTTGGTCTGGCCCTTCCAAAATGATACCTGCACCACCACCTTTAGAGTTGGAGGACCCGTCAACGTGTAAGGTCCATACCTGGGGCTCCTCGGCAATAGTGGGCGTGAGCTCGGCTACGAAGTCGGCCAGACATTGAGCATTCAGGGGTCCGTGACTTTCGTACTGGATGCCGAACTCCGACAATTCTACTAACCACGCAATCATCCGTCCGGCGAGCTCGGGTTTTCGCAGAATTTGCTTGATGGGGTAGTCGGTTTTGACTACCACCTGGTGACTCTGGAAGTAGGGTCGGAGACGCCGAGCTGCGGTGACAAGTGCTAGTGTCAGTTTCTCGATCATTTGGTACTGCTTTTCCGCGTCTTGGAGGACTCGGCTGATGAAGTAGATCGGTGTCTGCACTTTCTGGTGCTCTTGTACTATTACTGCGTTGATAGCGCTTTCTGCCACGACCAAGTAGAGGAGGAGGTCGGTTTTGTGATCCGGCCTCTGTAGGATTGGCGGAGTCGTGAGGAAGGTTTTGAAGCTTCGGAAAGCTTCTTCGCATTGATCCGTCCACTGAAAGTTTTGTGGCTTCCGTAGCAGAGTAAAGATCGGCCCTGCCTTTTCCGCAAGTCTGGGGATAAAACGGGACAGTGAGACCAACCGTCCTGCTAGGCGTTGGACCTCCTTCACCGTTTATGGACTTTGCATCTGGATGATTGCTTTACACTTCTCGGGATTGGCCACAATTCCTCTGCGGGTGATCATGAAACCGAGGAACTTGCCTCCCTGTACGCCGAAGACGCACTTCTCCGGGTTGAGGCGCATGTTGTGCTTTCTGATCTGGGCAAACACCTCGGCAAGGTCAGAAGCGTGATCTGTAGCTGAGTTGGTCTTGACTACCATGTCGTCGATGTAGACCTCCATGTTCCGCCCGATCTGCTGGTAGAAAACCTTGTCCATCAGCTGCTGGTAGGTTGCTCCCATGTTTTTAAGGCCAAAGGGCATCACCCGGTAGCAATAGTTGGCGTGGTCGGTAATAAAGGATGTGTGGACCTCGTCGGGCGGGTACATCATTATCTGGTTGTACCTGGAGTAGGCGTCGAGGAAATTGAGGAGGGCGTGCCCGGACGCTCCGTCGACCAGCCTGTCAATGCTGGGCAAGGGGTATGAGTCCTTGGGGCATGCTTTGTTCAAGTCAGTGTAGTTGACGCACATGCGCCACTTCCCCGAGCTCTTCTTCACCAGGACCACATTTTCCAACCATGTGGTGTATCTGACCTCACGGATGAAGCCAGCGTTCAGCAATTTCTGTGTTTCGGTGATGATGGCCTCCCGCCTTTCACCGTCGACCTTTCTCTTCCTCTGGGCGACTGGCCTTGCCTCCTTGTGTATCGCTAACCTGTGACAGATGAAGTCAGCGTCTATACCAGGCATGTCAGTGCTAGACCAGGCAAAGAGGTCGGCATTCTAGAGAATCTCCGCTTCGAGCTGTTGCCGCAAATCTGGGCTTAATTGCCTGCTAATTTTTGTGCACTGCCCAGGAGTTTTCCGATCTGTAGGTCGTCAAGCTCGTCAATGGGGCTTGGCCTCTCGTCATGGGAGTCAGATCTCGGATCGAGATCGGTGATTTCCACGTGGGTGATGTGAGCCACGATGGGGGGATCCTTCTTACTTTGCTCGCTGGTCAAGGATATCTTCAGGCTCTCGGCGTAGCACTGCCGAGCTGTCTTCTGATTTGCTTTGACAGAGATGATCTTTCCGTCGCTTCCTGGGAACTTCATGGTGAGGTGTGGAGTGGACACTACTGCACCAAGCTGATTCAATGTCGGCCTCCCAATGATGATGTTATAGGAGGTGTTGGCTTCCACCAGGAGGTATTAGACCATGATTCTCCTTGTGTCCGGAGAGGTTCCAAAGGTGGTCAGCAGGTCCACGTATCCCCGAGTGTGTACGCGCTCTCCTGCAAAACCTACTAGGGGCTTTGTGTGAGGTTGGATGAGAGAGTGGGGGATATCTAACCTGAGGAAGGTCGGCCAATACATGACATCTGTCGAGCTTCCCTGGTCTATCAGTGTCTTGTGCCCCTCCCAATTAGCTACCTCCACTGCTATGACCACGGGATCATCCTAGTTGGGACTGACGCCGACATAGTCGTTGTCGGTGAAGGTGATTGGCGGTGAACTTTGGTGTGAAGCCGAGGTAGCGGAATGGACACTGTTGATATTGCACAGGTGTCTCTTCCGAGCTGAGCGGGTGGCACCTCCCCCTGCGAAACCACCTGCAATTGTATTGATAACTCCCTGTAGGGGAGCTGATCCTGTTTCTTGGCTTACCTCGGCTTGCACTGCTCCGCCGGCATGCTGCTGAGAGCTAGAGGGCTGGTCCGTGCGAGCTCCTGAACCATGGCCTTTGCCTCGTCCTCATCCACCATAGCCTCCTCGGTGACCCTGTTGTCGCTGGACATATTGGCCGAGGTGGCCCGCCTAGATGAGTTCTTCAATACGGTCCCGTAGGGAGCGGCACTCCTCAGTGGTGTGACCGTGATTTCTGTGGTACTGACAGTGCTTGGACTTGTCGGCATTGTTGGGGGTGTGACCTGGTGATGGCAGAGTGAGCAGGTTGTTGTTGCTGGCTTCCTCCAGTATGTGTACGCAGGGCGCGTTTAGGGGAGTGTAGAAGTCATGTCTTCCCCCTCGGTTTGCCCTAGCCGGCTTCTTGAACTGGCTATCGTTGTTGACCTTGATTTTGTCTTTGTGGCCCTGTTCGGGCTTCATTGGTCCTCTGCCACGAACCTGGTCACGGAAAGAGGAGTGCTCCTCCATCTGGATGTAGCCCGCTGCTCGGGCGCGAAGCTCGTCCATATCGTGAGGAGCCTCACAGCATAGGCTGTCGACGAAGGGCCCAGGTTTGAGTGCCATGAGCATGGCATGCAAGGCGACCTCGAGGTTCAGATTTTTGATCTTAACCGAGGTGGCTGCAAATCGCTCCATGAACGCCCGAAGTGGCTCCTCATCATTCTGTCTGAGGCTGGCCAGGGCGGCCGAAGTGATGTGGTGAGGTCGGCTCGTCGCATACTGCACTGTGAACCGCCTGACCAGAGTGTTGAAGCTATCGATTGACTCGGCGGGAAGCTGGGTGTACCAGTTGAGTGCGGCCCCCTTGAGCGAGGTCGAAAAAACCCTACACAATATAGCATCATTGTTCGTGTAGAGGTTTACCTGTGTCATATATAGGTCGATGTGCTCGTCGGGGTCCGTCGCGCCATCATAGCGATCGAGGTGGAGAGGCTTCCAACCTTGAGGGAGTGGTGTCTCCATGATGCCGTCCATAAAGGGATGACGGCGGAAGGTTGCTTGACCCCTTGTGACATGAGTTGGGGCTTTGCTGACTTCATGTAGAAAGAACAAAAATTTTTTTTTGTAACCAATTAAATGAAATTTATTTAATTACATCATGCTTTAGAGAAAAAAAGGAAAACCAATATCCACTAATGTAATTGATTATGTTACAGGGTAATCAATTAGATAAGATATTTTTTTATGCCTAAATAGTTTATCTAAAGTAATCGATTACTTAGGTTTTCATTGATTTGTTTTTAAGTTAAAGCCTTATTTCACAAATTTAACCAATTACAATATTAATGCAACTAGTTACATATGTGTTAGTGTTCAAAAAAGTGAAAACCTTCTATTGTAATCGATTACAAAATGAAGTAATTGATTACATTTACATATTACATGTTTTTCACTACTACAAGATGTATTATCTACATCGGTTCTGTAAGGTAATCTACATCAATCCTAAAATCAATGTAGAATAGGGCGACTTAGAAATACATACACTTCTACATCAGTTTTGAAACCGATGTAGATTTGTGCAAAATCTATATCGATTTTACTAATAATCAATGTAGATTTGTATACAAATCTACATCAGTTCTATTGGCAACCAATGTAGATTGCATTTAAAAAAAAAAAGCTTCATTTATTTTTTAGATTCTTTCTGATTACCTATAATAAAACTACTTTTTTTAAAACATTTTTTCTTACTTGAGCTAAACTATAAATCACATTAACTAATTAATATATCTTGTTGTATCATTACTAGTATCCTAACTTTTAAAATAAAATTTAGCAATTAATAATAAAAATATATGACCATTTTTTGGGTAGTAATAAGCATGAGCTATTGTGAAGGAGCATGCAGTACGAATTTAATATTATTTTGCCAACAAAAGAAAAAAAAAACAATAAACCTCCAATAAAATGAGTAAAAGTAAAATGAATGAACTGGCTTATGAAGCTAATCATGATATTGAGGAATAAATGTATGGCTTAATGTAACCCTAAAACGTGTAATAAAAATACACTAGAGAACATTCAAACACAAAATTCCTAGTTTCAAAGTGGCGTTCAATTTTGACAATAGCAACGCTAGCATATACAATGCAAAATTTCTTTAAAATAGTTTGTTTCACTTCATATACAACCATGAAATAAGCACATATTAAGTTCAATGTCATGAATCAAGTATAGCATAGTGTCAAAATTTAATTTATGGTTTTAGCAAATTACACTGATCGATAACAACCTAATTGCGAACTTAACGGCTTCCAAACTGTGCAAAACACATCCTTAACACTTTCTTCACAGGAAGTATAACAATTTAAAAGGATACAAGTAATCTCAACTTAGCAATAAGAAAGACAAAGTTAGGTATCAAATATGTACTATCTACTACTAATATGAGCCACAAAATCCATCAATTGAAGTCAACGTGGTGAACATACAATTTAAGTCAATGTGGAAATTGACTGATCAAATGTTTAAAATGCAAGACATCTTAAAACAAAAGCTTAGGCATAAACTCCCAAACAAAAGGATTTCAGGAAATTAATGACTATCTTGATCGTCTAAAGATTGTCAACTACGTTATCTGTCTCAGCCTACTTATCCCTCAGTTCCACTTTCTCGGGACCAAATCAATTCATATACAATTGTTAGTTTCCCAACCCTCAAGCTTTCCTTAGTGAGGTTGAAAAATTGTACTTTAAAAACATATTTAAACTCTCCTCCAACCTTGAGTCAGAATAGCAGACACCAACATCGCAATATGCAAGGAAATGAAACACATGACAAAATTTTACGAGGAAAGATTATGCCTTAGCTTTAAATGGCATCCTTAAATATATAATCATATGGCATAAAACGGTGGATGGAAACCGAAGCCATAAATCAGACAAGATTTATGCACCTAACGAAAAAACATTACTATTACAACTTTCTTTTATAAAAATTCAGAAAACTAAGAATCCAAACTGCATGGAGAGATGCATGCATCACATGAGACAGGAGAAGCGCCTAGACATTACAATAAATGTTAAACCCATCATCAAATAATTACTAGAGTTCTAAAAAACATCCATTAGAACTATGTTTACAACTATAGATGCCCTAGCATAGTAATGTAAGTAAAAAAAAATAACTAATGCAATGTCTGTTCTGAAATTCTGCGATAATATTACCTCAATAATAAGCAGTCTTTGTCTATGAAGATGAACTATAATCTTTGTTCAGTTGTCACATTCAAAACATGAGAAAATGGTCACCATCTTTGGCTTTTCCAAAACCTGAAATCGCCAAGATATTCAGAATTCCTCTTCAACAAATAACGATAGATAATCATTTAATAGACAACAAATTATCATATGTGCTTCTACTGATAAAGTTGATTAAATAAAAACTATATCACAAGCCATCAACATTGAAATAAGGTACGCTCCATGCAATGCTAAAATTGAAACCAACTATATAAATCCAACATAACTTAAAATTCTTGCACACTACAACAATTGTGCCCCAGAATTGCAATCAAAAGGAGGGAAAACAAAGGTTAGAGCATGAAAAGAGCGATCATAAAAAAAAATAAGCAGGCTGGATACAATAAATTCATGGAGGAAGGAAAAATAGATAAAAAAATTCAAATAGAGATCAAAAATTCAATGTAGATTGCATTTAAAAAAAAAAAGCTTCATTTATTTTTTAGATTCTTTCTGATTACCTATAATAAAACTACTTTTTTTAAAACATTTTTTCTTACTTGAGCTAAACTATAAATCACATTAACTAATTAATATATCTTGTTGTATCATTACTAGTATCCTAACTTTTAAAATAAAATTTAGCAATTAATAATAAAAATATATGACCATTTTTTGGGTAGTAATAAGCATGAGCTATTGTGAAGGAGCATGCAGTACGAATTTAATACTGACGTCACGTAACGCGTATCCGAGGTCGTCATGCACTGCGATGCCGAGCTGGGAACTCGGCCTTGTAGTACGGATAGTACAATACTCATTAAAAAAAATTATATACTTAGGAATCACATATGTGAAGAAGTTTTTATAATGGAATTAACATAAAGGAAAACTTTGCAAACAAAAAAGATATAAATAACTAAATTGAAGATTAAAAAAAATAAGGAATAAATTAAATCTTCAAATAAATATTAAACGGTTAGAAGTTTAATTTTACCTTTTCTTTAGAAGTTCTTTTTTCATTGTGTTATTTACACCTTCCTTTACAATTAAAAGTTAACAAGTATGTACAATTAGACATTAAGAATGTATTGTGAGTATAATCATGTTCGATAAATTTTAAAATACTCGCTAAATTTTATAATAAAAGTCAACAAATTTATCGATATAAATTCTGACTACGTAATCAGAAGAATTATTATAAGCAAAAAAATCTAAATATTTAATTTAACACAGCTGTATAGTTAATAAAATATTGTATTCATGTATTTATTATAAAAAAATAAAATAAAAATAGCCACCAATTATTATTGATAGTTGATACAATATTTTGTACTTGAGAGAGGTTACAATGGACTATCGTCATGGTGTAGTCATATCACATACTATCTGCACCAGATTTTTTATATTTATTTCTCCCTCTTTCACCTATGGAGTTTTGCTGACATACCATTCTTTTATATCAATATTCGTTAAAATCCCGTTGCTGGCGTTGCTCTGGTGCTGATCATCGTGCTCTGTCGTTGGATCTCCATAGACCACCTTCAACTCTACTCTGTTTCACTTGTCCCCCAAAATCTAAATTAATCATAATATTAATTATTAATCAATAATTATAAGTGTATTTCAACCATTCACTTTTAAACATCCAAATCTCATCTTAGAATATTTCTTTATACCTTTTGGTAGTGTGATCTAAACTTTATTCTTTGGTACTTTTGCTTTTACTATACTAGTGCGTTTATTTTTCTTTTTGGTTTGCGATTCTTAGGGTTGTGCAAAATATGATTTACCAAAACCAGTCCATATTTGATAAATTGGATTTAAAATTAGACTGAATTAATTAATTTGATTGAGAATCAGTAAGATCAGTAGTCTAAAGGGTGAAAATTCAATTCATTTATATTTATCCGATTCATTTATGACTAAATTTATCTAATTAATTCATTATTATAAAAATAAATAATAAACTAAATTTAATATATTTATTTAATTTTATGGATGATTAATACTTATTCACTATTTTTTTTCAAAATCTATTGAATTAAAATATAAAATGTTAATCGAATTGAGATTTTAAGGAATTATTTTAACATAAAAAATTGTCAAATTTTAAAATTTTATATAAAATTATAATAATTTATATATAAAAAAGAAATAAAAATACTTTTAAAATAAAAATTATTTAATTTTAAAACATTATTTTTATAGATGAAATAAATATTTATTTATAAAATAATTATTAATAAATGAATTAGACAAAATTTTTACCTTAAATAAATTAGATTAATTAGATTTTTATATAAATTTTAATAAACATAGATAGATGAATTATTTTTATCAAATCTATTTTATGATTGTATTTAAAAAATTATCTAAGTCATTTATCACCCCTAATCTAAATAACTCGATTAACAAAACAAAAGACCAACAAAACAGTCAAATCAATAAAAAAAAATTCATTAATATTTTAATTTTAATTTTAAATAAATAATTAATCAGATCAAATTTACACAAATTGCTATTATTTAATTATTTATTATGAATTTTCTCATATGTAGTATAATTCCTTTACGTTAATGGTCTGATAATTTTTATTTTGTCGATAATGAACCCATTTATCAGCAATTACAATGGTTTCTTTCATTTTTAATTACAGAAGCATTTCTTTATTTTGACTTTTTTTTTTTAACCTTTTTTGATTGAAAGAAATGCTTCACTAATTGTTAGACAAATATTACTAAAACAAAAAAATTTGTAATTAAGAGTAAAAAGAAATTGAAAATAACATCAAAACAATTTCTTAAATTAAACATGCCCTTAATATTGTGAAACTATGATGTCGAGGAAAGCATTATACTCATTTGCAATCGCAAAAAGTAGTTTAGAAAATTAACTTAGTACGATAAAACTATAACGAGAAAAAGTAATGTCAGTCCCACTAAGTAGCAATGCACAACAACATCAACAGCAATAATAGTAATAGCCCTGGCTAATACAAAAGATGGAAAAACAAAATCATACTCCCGTCTTGCGCAATTCAGCAGCTCCATGTGCAAAGTGACATCTCTCTCCGAAGGTGCAAGATCCTTTTGCAAAATTATCACACAGCTTGGTCTTGAAGTTGCTTCCAGGTGGTGCAGGGGCTCCAGGAACACCTGGGGTGGATTTCGGTGGAGCAGACATTGACACAGTCACTAGTAAATCTTTTACCATGTTGCTTGCTTCCTTAATCTGTTCAAACGTCCCCTCAAGTTCAATATTTCTAAGATTTGGATCCGATTCGTGCTCTCGTATTGAAAGTTTTGCTCCGGTTTGGCGACAGATCTGCTTTGAGTTCACACCACCCTTCCCAATGATCGCTCCAGCCAGGGAAGCTTCTACACTAATTTTGGCAGTTGAAATGGCACCAAAGCTAGCGGCCAAACCAGGAGGAGGCTCAATTCGACCAGCCATACGACCCACTGCCGGAGGTCCCAATGGCCGATGATCATCCATAGATGGAGCAATGAGTTTGCCAAGTTCCCATTCACCATGGGCAAAATGGCACTTGTCACCGAATTTGCATCCTTCAGCAGTATTGAACTTGTTACATATGCGGGTTTTAACAGCAGATGGTGCAGAACCATTTGGGACCGGTTGTGGTGCAGCAACCGTTCTTGGTGGAGGAGCAGCAGGTTTTAAATTCATCATGTGGGCAACCGCATTATAACCACCGGGAACGTAATGCAAGAAGTGGCAGCCCTCACCGAATGGACAACCGGCAGTGCTGCAAAAGATGTTACGGCACAATCAGATCAACATTCCAATATAGTTGTTAGTTGTTACATAAAAATAAAATGCAAGAAACATTTATTTAGTAGTGAGAATATCAAAAGAGATCACACAATATTTAGCATGACATGCATATGCTATATTCAAATATATCGTCAAAACAGTAAAATTCCAACACCAAGTTCCTGAAAGAGAAACCCTTAAGCAAGAACACTTGATCAAACAACAGATATACGTGACGTGGGGCAGACATTCAGCAAGGACCCCATATACCAAGTCAACATTTAGCACAGTAAGTCTTTCTTGCACCACGTCAATGCTTAATTGTAAACATTCATTCCACTTTATGTCCACCCAACAAATTAATGAAGACAACAAAATCTAAGTTCTTATTTTGATTTCACAAAAGATAATAATGATAATGTGTAATGACAAAGTTAATAATGGCAACACTGCATCAGAGCAAAACAATGAATTGACATGTAGCCACAGGGAAGCAATGACTTACTATCGTCTGACTGTTTAATAAATACCATCAATGGTATAATTTATCAGAATAATGCTTATCACAATGTTATTGTTAGCTTATAACCTTATCACTTTGGCTTTAATACATATAACAAAGTGTACAACTATTGATGGGAAAAGCTGATGGTGGGTTTTCATACAGGGATAAATTGATAAACAAAAATACTATCTCAACCAAAAGCTTAGAAATGCACTCTTTCGATCGGAAG